AAAATGATAAACAAAATTTTTGGTTGCAGACCATCCTTTTCTAGTCAATCAGTTGCATGCTATGATGTTTAATACATTAATATTATTGCTCATTATCTTCTATTTTCCTATGATTTGTACAATGAATTTTTCTTTGGTATGTAATTCTTTGTTATCCTGCAGCAAAATATGATGTTGCCATCTCAACTGCATGTCCTGGACTTGACTATATTGTGGTGGAAACCACTGCTGCAGCACAAGCATGTGTTGAACTACTCCGGAGAGAGCAACTTGGTGTTGCAACATTCATGATTCTGGTATGAGCTGTGCATCATTGAAAGTCCTGTAAACCTTCTACTCTGATAAAATTTACTTAATGTGTTCTTCTTACCTAAGTGAACAGAGCTTAATAAGCTGGTGGGGTGCTGATATTGTTCTTAGAATCTAAATACAGGTTAAAATTTTGTCATCTTGTAGCTTATACAGGCCAGTTGAACATAGTTGCTGTCATTTAAATTGCTTTGGTAAGAAAATAGGAAAGAAACCTATATGTGACAAGGGATGCATTGGATGGAAATTACCAACTTTGTGCCCTACAAAGTTTTAATATTTTGTATCATGTATAGTGGTTAAAACATGAACAGTTTCATAATATGGTTGAAATTTGCTAAACTGAAAGATTTTCATCTTGGAGTAATATAACTTGGTAATGTCAAGTTTAAGTTGTTGGCTATCAATTTCATCACGACTTTCTTGACTCATGCAGGAGAAACAGGTTGATCTTTTAGACAAGTCAAAGGAGAATGTAAGAACCCCTGAGGGAGTTCCACGTCTCTATGACTTGATTAAAGTTCAGGATGAAAGAATGAAACTTGCTTTCTATGCTGCCCTGGGAAATACAATTGTAGCAAAGGATCTTGATCAGGTAGATGCTCGTTTCTCCATAATTAAGCAGATTGGTTTAGTAATTTATTTCATGTGTTACATGGTAACATTCCAGTATCTGCAAGGGATATCAGAATTTAGACATGAGAGGTTAGAGAGACATATGAGGCTTTAGGTAATGGCGGCAGACATGAGAGTATTCATAGGAAAGTGCAATCCTTTTGATGTGGTTGTTATATAAGGAAACATAACATACTATTTCTGTCAAATCTCATTTCAATATGAGTAGCAACTGAAGCATTCTCTCTTCAATTCAGGCAACACGTATTGCATATGGTGGAAACAAAGAATTTCGACGTGTGGTAACACTTGATGGTGCTCTTTTTGAAAAATCTGGTACCATGAGTGGTGGAGGAAGCAAGCCACGTGGAGGTAAGATGGGGACATCTATTCGAGCAACCAGTGTGTCTAGAGAAGCTGTTATTAATGCTGAGAGGGAGCTTAGTACGATGGTTGATTCATTAAATAGCATCAGGCAAAGAGTTGCTGATGCGGTGAGGAGCTACGAAGCATCAGAAAAGGTAGTTGCAGGGTTGGAGATGGAGATAGCTAAAAGCCTAAAAGAGGTATTCTTAGTAATCATTTTCCCTAGTAATCAGTTTTCAGGAACTTTTATCATTTGTTAATTGGAGTTTCATGCAATATTTCCTCCCCCTCAAAAACAGATTGACAGCTTGAATTCAGAATATAAATATCTAGAAAAGCAACTTGATTCCCTGGAGGCTGCATCGCGGCCTAAGCAGGATGAAATTGATAGGCTTGAAGAGCTTAAGAAGATAATTTCTACAGAAGAAAAAGAGATTGATCGACTCATCCGAGGGTCTAAATGGCTGAAGGAACAGGTGCGTATGAATGTTGGCTAATTACTTTGAATTTAGAAACTTTGAGGTCAATTTGGATGCCCACTTGCAAAAGTATAATCTTTTGTATCCCTCATTTGTTTTTCTTCTTTTTTTTTTCTTTGTTATTTTGATCTATCATCTCCCCACTAGATCATTCTCTATATGTTTGCAATACTGACAGAATTTAGGATGTAAAGTTTTCTATCTATTGATGCCATATTACTTGCTTAACCTTTTCCTCTGCTTTTAGGCTTTAGATCTGCAGAATAAAATAGAAAATGCTGGTGGTGAAAGGTTGAAGACACAGAAGACTAAGGTTGAAAAGATACAATCTGTAAGTTCTGCATAACATGAAATTTACAAAATTCTATTCTGGAGTATCCATGGTAAACTACTAATTCATGCTGCTGACTTTGTTAGGATATTGACAAGAATAGCACGGAGATCAACCGTCACAAGGTTCAAATAGAGACAGGTGAGAAAATGGTGAAGAAATTAACAAAGGGGATTGAAGAGTCAGAGAAGGAGAAGGAACGAATCATTGAGGGGAAGGAAAAGTTACATGGCATGTTTAAAGATATAGAGCAGAAGGCATTTATAGTTCAAGAGAATTATAAGAAGATGCAGAAGGTTTTAAGTTTCTTCCTCTACTCTCTGCCATACTTTATGGTAAAGATGAAAGCAAAGTGATCTTGTACAAATGCATGACCTGTTTCTCCTTTTAACAGTTAATTGATGAACATGGAGAAGTGCTGGAGAAATCAAAATTGGAGTATGAAAGAGAGAAAAAAAGTGTTGATGAGTTGCGTGCATCAGAGGTATTATGTAATTTAGTGCTTTTTTCTTTTTTCTTGGTTGGGCTTTTTCTTGTTGATTTAACTTTGTTAACTTGGTGATTTGCAGGTTGATGCTGAGTTCAAATTTCAAGACATGAAAAAGATGTATAAGGAGTTAGAAATGAAGGGGAAGGGTTACAAGAAAAGGCTTGATGACTTGGAAATTGCTCTACAAAAGCACATGGAACAGTATGTCACTTTATGGTTTTAAAACTGATTGCTTTACTTTGAAAATGACATTGTATCTTGTTGGTTGCAGGATACAGAAAGATCTAGTGGACACTGAAAAGCTACAAGGAACCTTGGCTGATGCGACTCTAACTGAGGCCTCTGACCTGAAAAAGGCCCTTGAAATGGTGGCATTGCTGGAAGCACAGCTGAAAGAGATGAATCCAAACCTTGATTCAATCTCAGAGTATGAATTTTGCTTTTTTTTTTAGTTTTAAATGTTTCCAAAATGTAATTTATTTTCTTCTATGAATGTTTACAAAAGTACTTGTTTTTATAGATATCGAAGAAAAGTATCACTGTATAACGATCGAGTTGAGGATCTTAACACAGTTACACAACAGCGTGATGATATAAAGAAGCAATACGATGAATGGAGAAAGAAAAGGCACGAATATCCTCTCATTTTATTTTTCCCTGTTGTGACTTCAAAGTTATCGTACCATAAGTCATCAAATCTCAGTCAACTGTTTTAATTATAATTTTTAGGTTGGATGAGTTCATGGCAGGATTCAATGCAATTTCCTTGAAGTTAAAGGAAATGTATCAGGTTTGTGTTTATGCCATACAATAAACTGCTATTTGCCAAAAATAGGCTCTTGTTTTATAGTTTATGAGTAATATTTTTCGTTGGGGGTGACTGGGGTGGTGGATTTGGGCGAGTGACAGGCCAAAAAGCAAGATTGTTGTCTAGGTTCTTGGCTGTCCTTAAATGGTGGTTTTCCCTTTTAGATTTCATTTTTCTTGTTTCTCGTTTGGACTTGGGAGTAGACTTGATAATTCATGTAGTCATGTTATATAAAACACTGACAATTTGTATATTCTTATCACGTTTTACATGAAAATTGCATGTACAATTTATGTTGGAAAACACAAAATACATTTTTTAGTTTTGGTTAAACTGGTATGGTATTTGCTCAAATTTTAATCAAATTTTTTATATAATTTTCGTGTTATGTTACTGTATTGTGTCTTAAATTATTGGGTTTACTTGGAAGTAACCTCATTAATTTGCAAATGCTCAAGTTATCCTTAATTTTCCCCTCTTCTCAATTTCTGCTGGTGCTAGACTACTTCCCTTCCCTCCCTTTCATAAAGTAATAGTTCTAGTTTACTGACTAAGCTGGACAGATGATCACGCTTGGAGGAGATGCAGAACTTGAACTGGTGGACTCTTTGGATCCTTTCTCTGAAGGTGTTGTTTTCAGTGTTAGACCCCCAAAAAAGAGCTGGAAGAATATTGCAAACTTATCGGGTGGTGAAAAGGTTGCAACTGCATGTCGACTGCCCATTTATAGAATGCTATACATGGATGCCAATGATCCCTTTTACCCCATTATTCTTCTTAAATCTTAAGATTTAGGTTTTCTAACTTTTCTCTCATAACTACTTTCAGACTCTCAGCTCGTTAGCTCTTGTTTTTGCTCTTCACCATTACAAGCCAACCCCACTTTACGTAATGGATGAAATTGATGCAGCTCTAGGTACATTTCTAACAGATGCTGAATTTTTTTCCTTTTTTTCTTTTCTGAGGTTCCTTTTAAGTATTTTCATGGTGTTCCAGACTTCAAGAATGTTTCTATCGTTGGACATTATGTCAAGGATCGGACAAAGGATGCACAGTTTATAATCATAAGGCATGTTTCTTTCCCAAAGTACCTTAGCTATAAAAATATTAATCAATTTTACATATTTTCTTTATCTTATGCAAACTGCAGCCTGAGGAATAACATGTTTGAGCTGGCTGATCGACTTGTCGGGATCTACAAAACGGACAATTGTACTAAGAGCATTACTATCAACCCCAGCAGCTTTGTGCTGTGCGAGAGAGCTGCATGATTCATATTTTTAGAAAGATATATCCTGTCGAAGTTTGTTTGCTTTCCATAATCATTTCGTTTCATACCAACCTAAAACTATATATAATATTATATATGTACTATGAACATCTTGATATGTTTTCTCCTATAAAATTGATGTTGATGATATTGACAAGGAAATGTTCCTCTTTAATTAGAGAAAATGAGTTGTCACATATACACTATAACATGGTGTGTTATGGATGTGAGCTCTCTTTTAACTAAACATTAATTGATGTATAATAATGTATACTTTAATTTAATTAGTTTCTTTTTATCATTATACTATATTTTGATGACATGATCTTTAACTTTATTGATGTGACATTTTGATTAATTGTTAATGAAGTTTATGATAACGTGAATTTATTACGTGGTAACAAATAAATTTACATCACCAATTTTTTAGAACCTTCCCTAAAATTGCATCGCAGTTTCAGGCATCATAAAATGGCCACTTACTTCCGAAGGCTTGGCACACTGATGGAATGACAGCAGTGATGGCTTTATCGGCATTGCCTTGGCTAGAGTAAACTTGCTAGAAATTTTTGGGACACAAGATATTAAAAGCTTGCATAGAGAAGGTTCATTGATGCAAGTCAAGCAACAGGAATGTTATAATGGCAGACAATGAAAGATCAACAATGTCTTTGAAAACAACTTCTGGATTCAAGCAACATAGTTGAAGAAAGAATATTAACAGACATAAATATATATACTATCATTCAGAAAATTTTTGTTATCTCTAAATGGTGCTGTACAATCTCTCCTTCCTTCATCTCAGTCTGTCTCCCTCCAAAGAGCACCCTGGATGGATCAAAAAAATGTAAAACTAGAGTCCTTTTTAAAGAAGATACAGTTTTGACTCAGGGATTGAATCTGTAACCTTCTTTTCTACAAGGTCTGAAGGATTTTTATATCAATGTTTAATCTAAAGATCTAGTAGAAAAACTGTAGTCAAACAAAAATCTTTTACTTGTGAATTACTAATCTAATAGCTATTAGGTTAGTTTATCATCCGCAGCATTTAGCGACACTTTCTTCTTGCAACTTCTGCCATAGGCAAAGCAACTCTCTGGGGCTTTGGTAGTGTGCAACAACATATCCATCCTTGCATCCTTCATTGTAGACTCGCTTTTCATTTATGTAATACACCTTCAAACCTTCCCTTTTCATATCTGCTATCCAGATCCCCATTGCTACATCCTCCAGCTTAAACATCTGTAGTGACAAGAATGACCAATTTTATATCGACAAAAATTTTGTAAATAGTAATATAAGAATGGCAGAACACAAAGGTGACTGTAGAGAGAAAAGCGAAGTGGAATACGAGTACAATATAAAAAGCTAGCATGTGGTAAGGGAAGGGTGAAAATAAAGCAGAAGGTTTAATTGATCCAATGAAACCATTGCGATAGTAATGAGTGAATATTGGTAGGAGATTTACCCGTAAATGGCCTTCCTTGTGCTTTGTATTTACTGCTTTAGCTATGTCATTGGACACCACATAACCAGGGCCATGTGCCCAAGGAGGGTAAGTTCTTCCAGGATATTCCTTCAGATAGCAGACAGAAAAGCAGTTAGAGACAACAAATAAAGTCAATTAGCCAAGCAATAAACATATTCATGCATACCCGGAAACTATGATCCCCATGCCACTGCTATTGTAATTAGTGCTTATCTAATTGAGCTTGTTAATCCCTTCAAACCCGTTTGAACAAAATGAATAGATCTGCAGACAAAATTACCTCAGGTCTGATATACCATTTACTGTCAGCATTCCGATGAGGCTGAGCATCATAGTTTATAAGACCATATAACAACCCATGGCTCACATTTTCTTTACTTATAGAAGCTAACACTTCATCGACACGAACAAAGGCATCATCATCTGTCTTCATAACATACTTGGCTGAAACAGCATCTGTCTGTTAAAAACGCAAAATAAGCCAAGAAGGTAAAACTATCAGAAAAAAAAATGTGAGACTGTAAGAACTTACCCCAAAAATGCAGATTGCTACAGTCTTCCAAGTAATAAGACCATAATAGTCAACAAAAGGCATCAGTTGAATGTCTCCATATGTCTTTATCTCACTCCAGAGTTCCTCATTCACTACCTGGTTCTTATGCTGCAGTATATAGTGCAAACATTTAGTATATCTTTCCAGTTTTCCGCACTTTCATGTACATTAAGGGCCAGATCAACATCAAAATTATTCCATGAAGGACAATAATTTCACCAAATGATAATGAAATGAAAGTATGGTACTCACTAGACCAACGAAAAAGCGCACTGCAACAGCTCCTGACTTCACTGCTGGGTACTGCATCCATGTTCTGCGAACAGCCATCCTACGCTTGAAGTTGTTTGCTGTAGAAAATACACCAATAAAGAGGTCTAATGACTGGTCTAGTTGGAGAGGAACCACTCTCAGGGCATCCAAATCATTAATGTGCTCTATGTCCTCAGATGTAGGTAAACCACTGGCCAGGACAGATGTTAACTTTATATCTCCAGATATCCTTACTTCAGTCACAAGCCATGGCTCTAGACCCTATAACATCCTCATAAAAGTTCAATTAATTCATGGGAAAATGCAAAAAAAAAAAAAAATTTAAACATCACAATATAAAACGAAAATTGAGTTAGAACTAAGAAAGAAAAGAGAAATTACTTCACGGTAAGCAAATGATGTTATATGCTTTCCATCAACAGTCATCTGAAATCCTTCTTCACCCACCCGAAGTGTCATAACAGACAAATACCCTAGCTTAAATGGAAAGTATTGTCTGCTTCTAGTTTTGTTTTCTGTCATGGATGACCATAGAGAAATGACTGAGGATTCATTGGTTGCAAATCTCCGGCTATCAACTTTACCCACCTTATCACTGCATTGCTTCAAATCATCCACTGCATATCATGCAAAAGAATACTGTAAATAGATATAGCCAGCCAATGTCTCCTTATAAAGATTCAAAAGTTGCATAAGCATATAACTATTGAAATTTGCATTTAGCCTTTGTTACACTTGAATAGAGGGCAGAAGGGATCAAATTTGTATGTTTTTACATAACAACATTATTGCTCTAAATGGCTTAAAGCTTTGCCTAGCCAGACTATTGGGCAGAGTCTATAAAACGAGTAGGCAAATTACCTCTCTTATTTCCTACAACTGCAGAGGGGCAGCGCTCTTCTTCACCCCAATCATTAGCAGCAGTCCATGTGTTTTGGACAATTACAGGATCCTCAGTATCCTTATCACCTTGGAGGCGAACATTGTAATGTAAAACGATTGGAGGATCTGGCTCCCCTGGAACTGGTTCCCCGGTTAAATCAATTCTGAAGCTTCCCAAAAGACCATCTGGAATGCCAATTATAGTAATTGCAGAACCTTGAATAAGTCCACATGGAATTCTCAGTTTATAGCTTTTATCTCCAAAATCTGCAGCATTCATTTTGTTTAAGAAATAGGGACATTGTTTCTCCTTTACATTCTGATCAACTGTACTTTCATTAGCGTCACTTTGTTGCTTCTTCACCACAGTATCCAAAAGATTTTCCCATGCAACCCTAGCATCTCTAACCGCCTCTAACGCATTAGGCAAGCCTTTAGTATAGTTCACTAGATGCTTCATCTGATTCCATGTCAATAAAGAACTTTGAACTTCATGAGAGAAATTCCTCTCAAGAAAGAGTCCTGAGACCAACCTGTCTGCGAAAACTACATGATTAACAGCTTCTGGATTTTGAACCCCTTCAGAAACAATAGGTTGAATCCATTTAAGAGGCGGCTCAGTCGCGTTATCGGTTATACTAAGTTGAAGGGAATTCTTCCCAAAAGGGTTTTTGATCATCACAGTATATCTCAATATCAGCATCACAAGGAAAGACCCCAGTAATAAACTTCCCAACCATTTCTTCATTTTTTTCTGAACCACTTTGTCATGTAACTGAACTTTCTGTCATTTAATGCAATCACATAAAAATGCTGATATGGAAACAGAATTAAGGAAATTCAATTGAAACTCTTTCCTTTCCTAATAAGAATGACCTTAGTTGTAACTCTTAAGAACAGAATCATTCAATTTAACAAGATAAAAGTAATTTAAGCCACAATTTCCAAAGATTCTTATAAAATCTAAGCCAAACCAACCACAGAAAGCAAACCAAGCAAAAAAAAAAAAAGAAGTCATTCAAGACAAAGGAGATAAGTCAAAGAAGCAGGCAAAAGAAATTGACTAATGCATTAGCCAACACTAAAAATAATACATAAACAAAACTAACATGAACCTATCCGCAAAAATCAAACTTCAGAACAGATGATCATACTGCAAACAGAACAGGAAAGAAAGAAAGAAATTAAGATCACATGCAAGTAAGAAAAATCATTGAAACATAAGCTACCAAGATTGATATATATATATATATATATATATATATATATATACTTAGTTGCAAACCTGGATTCATGATGGGTTTTTTGTCTTACTTATGGAACCTTGGTCAGCTTGGTAGGTTTTGACAGAAGAAAGAAAGAAAATGAGAAAAAGTTGGCTAGTGCAATGAAGAATAAAGGAAAGAAGACGAAGTCTAAGGGGAAAGATTCGTGGAAAACAAAGAGGAATTGAAAATATGAATATGAAACAAAGAGAAAAAGAAAAAAGAAAAAGGAAAAAAGAAAAGAAAAGGACGGTTCTGTAATGTTGGTGGAGCTTTGAATTTTTGAACTTGAATTATACGCCAAATATGAGGCAGTTAGATACATGGAAACTATTGCTGTTGGCTAGTCTTTGTTTTGTTTAGTGTTTAGACTCCAAGCAACTATGGTCCAATAAAACAACTGCAGCCAACAATCTAATCTATGTTCCCCTAAATTAGTGTTTTCTCCGCTCTATTTTCCTACAATTATTATTATTTATTGGCAAACCCAAGTTCTATCGTGGCCCAAATGGGTCAGGTAGATTCCTCAACGTGTTGTTGCTTTTTAAGCATACCCCAATACCTTAACTGCTAAGATTTATCAATTATGGAGCTTTTTATTATTATTATTATTATCTTGGTGTGAAATTTTTCGCCTATCTAGTTTATATTGGGTTTGTGGTACAATGTATCACGTATACTAATATATAATTTTTTTAAAAAAATATATGTATTATGAACATGTACTAATATAAGCATATTTTTGAAAAAAAATCAATATAGTAACTCATTTTAATTATGATTAGATTGATTATTTTTAGTTAAGTTTTAAAATTTGTTTGAATACTGCACTTAAGCATTTGACTTAATGTAAGTGTATATATCTCACTCTTTTTCAAATAAAAAATTTTTTTTTATAATTTTTATAGTTGGATGATAAAAAAAAAATGACTACAAGGTTGTACAGATTATAGAGCACTCTGATCGTTCATATAAAGCTTAGGTCTATAGTTTGAATTCTGATTCTTGAAGAGAGATCATTGCTGGTGTGCCGAAGACCCGAATATTTGGGTGGTCTTGTAATGAGCGGCATCCATGGAAATCAGCAGAATATACATGGTTTGTCAGCATACTTGAATGGAGTCTATTATTGGGATCATCTTGATGTTATTGTTTCGTTCGATATGGAAAAGGAGGTGTTTCAAATGATACCATTGCCACCAGATATTGGCAGATGACATAATCCAACAATCTGTTGTTGCATTCGGTGATTCTCTAGCATTCATTACAGTTCATATCAATTCTGTCTTTGAGCAAAACATGGAGCAAAAAGTTGACAAGTTAACCCAGACTTTATTTTGAACATGCGATTGGATTCTGGAAAGATCATTTTGTTCTGGAATGGGATGGACAGTTGATGTTATTCAACCCTACAAAAAAAAAAGGATTAAAATGATTTTTGTTGATGGAGTTGCAGATGTCAGACTTTCAATTTGTTAAGTTTACAGAAAGCATAGTTTCAATTAAGGGAGAGGTGACTGAAATTATAGTTAATCCCAACATCGCTCGAACATAATTTTGATTTTATTTGTAGATTCCTATTACAGTTAGTGAAAGTTGATTTTCATTTCAGATTCACAGTGTAATTTTTTTTATATTCATGTTTATTTGTTTTTCTTTCTTAATATATATGGTTTTTTTATAAAACTATCATTAATCTGTTCAAAATTCGATTTTGATAAAATAATTGATCGAAATGATATAATTTAATTAATCGATAAAATACTGAATTAATTTTGAGTTAAAAAAATTTTAATTTTTAATTAATTTGGTTCGGATTAACCAAATTCGTATCAATTGTAAAGATCAAAGATCCATTAATCTTCATAATTTCGATTTTGTTTTTTAATCTCCATAGTAATTGGATTGGTCATGATCCAAATCCCGCGAGCAAACCATCATCCTTACTTGCACTAGTGGTAACATTACCAGTCTTTAATCAATTGTTTGCTAGTTAATTAGGTTAGGTCGAAAACCAATTGACATATTTAATGGTTATCCAATGGTGAGGTAAGAGCTGATGATTGAAGTCAAGTCAAAGTCCATGACATATTAACTAACCGCTTTAGGCCATTGCCTGGAAATGGCATATTTGTTCCTATACCTTCATAAGTTGATATTTCACTGTCTTTTTCATCATTATGGAAAAAGAAATTATTATATGTAATATCTAATAATTTGAACTGCTAACAAAAGACTAGATCTGCTAATTTTAACAATTCATCAGCAGCCTTCTCTCAGTTAGTTGATTCATTTGTAGCCAAATGGCAGCTTCCCCTTGGATCACTTTTGTCAATAGTTAAGACAGCGTAGGACAACGAGAGATTTTAAGCAAAAATTTGATGATATTGTGATGCCGAGAATTGATGATTGGGATGTTGAAGAATAATTGTAAATAAAAAATACTCATAAAGAAAACAATTTATAATAATTTAAATAATAATAGAATATGGTTATTATTAAAAGAATAGAAGTTCACCAACAAGACTAGATATTAGGAGATATAGCAACACCATTCTAAGAATTCTAATGAGGGATACATAACTATAGAAGCTTATCACTCTAGAAAATTCACCTAAGAGATATAAAACTTGAGAACAATCTAAATGTTGCTTAAGGATAAAACAAACTCTATTATGTTTTTTACAAAGAATAACAGAAAATAAATAGGTGTGGAATATCTATCCAAGCATGTGAGTTTCAAAGATTGCCCTTTTTTTAATTGCTAAATTGATGGGATTGCCTTCAATATTGTCTTACTAAAATGGTACCTAAAATCATTGGGATTTGCATGTGAATATAATAATTTATAGTGTAAACACAATAATTTGTAGTGTATACATAATTATCTGCCCATTTACTCTTGTAAACTACAGTCTTGCATATTGATGAAGTGCTTAATATTTGGTGTCTAGGTTCATCTATGAATCTGACCATAATCCTATCTTTCTTCGTGCTCTTCTTTTTCAACTAGTGTGAACACAACCTTTATATTTCAATCCATCTTATTTTTATATTTGTTTAGTGGATTTGGAATAAAGATAGACCCATCTTATTTTTGGATAAGTCTTTTTTTAGTCTTAGCTCAAATTATAAGATGTGTTAGCACTCAGGTGTCAATCTCCTCTGGTTGGGAAAGACTTATCCTTAAATCTGAATTAGTCTTTTTGTCATGGTAGGATGACAAATCAATAATACTGAAGGTGAAAGATACTTCATAAGTGTCGAAAAGCTCTATCTTATAGGTATTTTCTCTAATGCATAAGAGAATTCTAAATGGACCCTCTGCCTTAGGTTGTAATTTATCAAACTTCTCTGGAAGGAGTTCGCTTTTCATAAGTTAATCCACACGAAATCATCTTCTTTGAACTTTATATGTCTTCAATGCTTGTTTGTTGCCCTTTTATATTTCTTATTTTGCTGTAAAATTCTAGCTCTGACTTGTTCATGCAATCGTTTGATACTTTTAGCCATTTCTTTTGCATTTTCACTAAATTGTTGATTAGTAGGGAAATGAACTAAATCTAAAAGGTTGATTGGATTCTTACCATACACCACCTTAAAGGGGCTCCAACTAATGGTTTGGTTTAGTGAGTGATTTTAGGTAAACTCTACTTGAAGTAAAACAAGATTCCAATGCTTGATATTCTTTACCATATAACTTCTTAAAAAGTTGCCCAAATTGTGATTGGTTACTTTTGTTTGACTATCTGCTTAAGGATTATGAGAAGAACTATACTTGAGATTGGTATCAAGCTTCCTCCAAAGGGTGCGCCAAAAATGACTAAGAAACTTAGAATCCTGATCAGACACCATGGATCTAAGAACTCTATGTAGTATCACAATTTTTTTGAAATACAGATAAAAAACATAAGAAGTATCTATAGGTTTGGTATAAAAAATGAAATGGGTTATCTTGAAAAACTGATCCGTAACCATCATGATGGAATTTTTGTTCCTTTGAGTTCTAGGTAGTCCTACTACAAAGTCCAAATTGACATCCTCCTAATGAGCATTAGGCATGAGTAGTGGAGTATATAATCTAGTATTTTGACTATGACTCTTGGCAATATGGCACACTCTACATCATTCAAGGTGTTTCATCACATCCCTCTCCATTCTCGACCAATAAAACCTGTCTTGCAAAAGAGTAAGTATCTTGTCATTTTTAAAGTATCCATCTAGTGCATCATTATGAGCCTTGTTGATTAAGTGCTGTCTCAAGGAACACAAGGGAATGCAAAGGCTATTAGCATTGAAGATATATCAATCATGCAACAAACACGAGTTGTGTGATCCTTACTTACACTATTTTTAAATTTGACCAAAGTAAGGGTCTACTTCATAGAGCTTTTGATCACATCAAATCCAATAACTTTAACAACCATAGTCCCCAATAAGAAGTGCTTTCAACTCAAAGCATATGTTACCACATTTTGAGTTCTCGATTTATGCTTGATAGTAAAATTGTAGGCTTAAAGAAACTTCACCCAAGCTACATGCCTTTGGTTAAGTTTGTGCTGGCTATTGATAAACTTTAAGACCTCATGGTTTGAATATAGGATAAATTGCTTGGCAAAGAAATATTGACTCCAATGGAATAAAGCTTTGTATATGACGTAGAACTCATTGTCATAGGTTGAATACTTTTTCTTGGCTTCATTAAACTTCTCATTGAAAAATGCTATAAGTTTTCCTCCTTGGCTTAAAATAGCACATATTCTAGAATTGGATGCATCACATTTCACTTTAAACACTTGATTGAAATTTGGTAGGCATAGGATGAGAGCTTCGGTGATCCTATTTTTAATGAGCTTAAAGCTATGTTGGGCTTCTTTGGTCCATTTAAAAGCTTCATCCTTCAAACATTAGTGATAAAAGCCACAATAAAGCTAAAACCCCAAATGAAGCCCCTATAAAAAGATGCAAGGCCATGGAAACTTCGGATATCATGTAAAGGTGCTAGTGTTGGCCAATTAGAAATTACCTCAACCTTGTTAGAACCCATCTTTATTCCTTCATTTGACACCACAAATCTTAGAAACACAAGGCTAGAAGTAAAAAAATTATACTTTTCAAGGTTAGCATAAATTTTTTATTCTATTAATATGTAAAATAGTTAGTGTAAATGATTCAAGCATTGGTCTTCATCTTTGCTATACATCGAAATATCATTAAAACATACCGCTACATATCTGCCAATACAAGGTTTAAGGATATGATTCATAAATCTCATGAAAGTAGTACTAAGGATATTGGATAAACCAAAAGGCATTACCATCAATTTATAAAGACCATCTCTTATCTTGAAGGCTTTTTTTCACTCATATTCAAGTTTTATTTTGATTTGATGATAGCCACTGTGAGGTCTATCTTGGAGAAAATAATCGTTCCATGTAATTGGTCTAGCAAGTCATCTAAGCGTGAAATAGTAAAGCGATCATCAATCGTGATTTTGTTGATTGCTCTATTATCCACACATATATGCCATGTTCCATCATTCCTGGGCACCAAAAGGGTTGGGACTGCATAAGAGCTCATATTTTTTTGCATTATTTCTTTTCTCACCAATTCATCAACTTGGCATTGCAACTCTTTATACTCTTTAGGACTCATTCTATAGGCTACTTTATTAGGTAAAACAACTTTTGGGATAAAATCTATGTAGAGTTGAATGTCTTTCATTAATGGTAAATCAACTGGTAACTCTTATTGAATAACATCTTAAAATTCTACCAATAATGATTATATTATTGTAAAGGGCTCCTCATTATCTTCATTTTTCTTAATCAGCACTAGTGCATACATAGTACCATCTATCTTAATTTTTTTTTTTTGTAATTGGCCTCGGTAAACAAGTTGTTTCCTTCCCTTTTGGTTGGTTTTGACATTATTATGGGCTTGGTAGGGCCTAAGATGATTTTGCATCCATCTTTCATAAATGTGTAAGTTTTACGATAACCATAATAAATAACCCTCATATCATAATGCCAAGGTCTTTTGAATAGTAAATGGCAAGCATCTATAGGAGCTACATCACATCACACTTTGTCCTTGTATTATTTTTCTATGAAAAAAAGAACGAAATACCTCTTGCTAACTTTGATTTCATTATATTTTTGCAGCCAAGATAGCTTATACAGTTAAGGGTGATCCACTGTTTTAAAGCCTAATTTTTATATCATAAACGTAGAAATAACATTTTTAAAACTTTCACTATTGATTATAACATCACATACCTATCTATGGGCAGTACACCAAGTGTGGAACACGTTTTTATGAAACCAATCTTCTTCCTTAATAGATGTAGTACTCAAACTGCATTGTATAACTAAAGATGCTCTATAATTGCCATAGGTTAACTTTTCATCATCTTTGAGGTTATGATTCTCTTTAACCAATTTCTCTTTATTTTCTTTCAAGTTTTCCTGTACTAGAGTCATAATCTTCTTGTTTGAACATTCTAAGGTAATGTGTCCAAGCCCTTAATACTTAAAATACCTTTTAGTTTATGTACTAGACTAAGGCTTGCTTGTTGAGGTTTCATCTTTTTTTTAGGGTTGCTTTGGAATGGGCCTAGAAGAAACAACAATTTTGGATGAGCCACTTTTATTGATATAGCATTCTTAAAACCCAAATCTCAAGTTGCTACCATAGGCCTTCTTTTGTTGGTTCTCCATTTTAAGGGCAAGTTTGCATATATTGTTGAAAGTTCAATAGGGTTGTAGTTATACCATATTAGCTATTTCAATCTTCAACCCTCAAAGATATCATGCAATAATCTACTCTTCTTATTCTACTAATTTATATTTCAACATGAGCTTGTCAAACTCAGTCGTATACTCCTTCATTGAGAGATCTCTTTATGTCAAGTTATACAGCCTAAGAAAAATGTTTTGCCAGAAGTTATCTGAGAGATACTTTCTTTTCAACTCTTTTTTATTTCCTCTCAAGTTGTAATTTTTCTTCTGCTTTCTTTTTCCCTTTGCTTCTTTAAATTTTCTCACCAAAAGGATGCATGCTTTCCAAGTTTAATAGCCATTAGCTTTACTTTACGATGTTCAAGGGCATCATGGTATTTAAAAATATGCTCCATTGTATGTAGCCAATCTAAAAACTCTTTAGACTATATTTTTTCCTCAAACTTAGGAATCTCTATCTTTGGATTGAATATGCTATGTTGAAGTTGGTTTCTATGTAGGTAGTCTTTGACTTGCCATGGGTGAGGTGGGGAGCTATTGTCAGAATCGCTATTATTTCATTGTATGGATTGGCCTCTCCTTTATCTTCTTTGTTCCTCATTCCTTGCTATTTTATCTCATCTCCCTCTTTTCACATACATAACTGTTGTTGTAGTTGAAGGATTTATTACCGCATCTCTTCTACAAAGGTATCCCTTAGGTCATCATTTGTAACTACTGCAATATTGGTGTTGGCTTCAACATCTTCTGCTGGTGCTTGACAATGATGACCTACCATAGCTCTAATACCAATTTGATGTCAGGAATTGATGGTTGAGATATTGAAGAGTAATTGCAAACAGACAAAGAAGATAACTCATATGAAATTGAATAATGACAGAATATGATTATTGGATTAAAGGGATAAATGTTCACCATCAAGACTAGACATTAAGGAATACAAAAACATCACCCTAAGAATTCTAATCAAGGATACAGAATTATAGAAACTCACCACTCTAAGAAATCTACCCAAGAGATACATAATTTGAGAGTAATGTAAAGATTGCTTAAAGATAAAACAAACTTTATTCTACCTTCTACAAAGAATAACAGAAGATAACTAGGCTTGAAACATCCCTCTAAGCATGGGAGCTTCAAAGACTGCCCTTTTTTTAATTGCTAAATTGATGACATTGCCTTCAATCTTATCTTGCAAAAATGGTACCTAAAATCATGAAATTTGCATGTGAACACAATTATCTGCCCATTTATTCTTACAAATTACAGTCTTGCACATTGATAGTGTGCTTAATATTTGGTGTCTAGGTTCATCCATAAATCTGATCATAATCTCATCCATCTTCATGCTCTTCTTTTCTAGCTAGTATGAACACAACCTCTATATTCTAGCTCACCTTATTTTTGCATTTGCTTAGTGGATTTGGATCATAGAAAAGGCTCTCTTATTTTTGGATCAAAGATAAGCATTTGTTTAGTGTTGGCATTCCGGTGTCATATTGTCAGATTCCTTAGATAATTGTCCCAATGGATAAGATCCAAGTAAGCAAAACGAGTTGAATATTTTGATGCATTTAACTAGAAAGTTAGTCAAGAGATCACAAAGTATATTATAAGCCAAGCTTGTCTCTCTCAAAAGAAAGTGAAACTTCCTGACCCATGAACTAGTCTTATTTTATAGTGATTGGAGGAAAAATTTTCCAATCTGGCTCTTTCCATGTTGTTTCATTCATTTTGTCTATGAGACAATGACCCCCACCATCTACTATATCCAAGAAAATTTCTGTATCTGTGTCGTGATTGTATCATTTAAACTCAAACAATTTTTGCTAAAATTTTAAATCTATCACTTTTATGTCTTTTTTCATGATTAAAATGTTAGATCTACCCTCCACCAATTTTATTTGCTGTTGAGGGAATTAAGTTTAACTGCTAAAATCCCCCCCCCCCCCCCCAACAAACCAGTAGGAAACAACTATTCCTCAAGGGAGTGGTTGGAACTAACAGGCCTTGAAACTGACACTCAAAATGGCTTTCCTTGCTTCCTGTTGGCTTATCATCGAATCTATTGTCATCCCATACGGATATTTTCTGAAGTGGTTTTATTTGAGCTTCTATATTCATCCTGTTTTTCTTTTTGCCTGCCAGATTTTTCTATGGCTCAAATTTCTGAAAAGTTGTGTTGTATCTGTATTCATTTATCCTTTTAGAATCATTTGCTTTTTGGGTTCATATGTTTATAAATTTTTTAGATATTGTATGATCTATATCTTCTCTTTTATTAAAGTAACCAACTTGCAAGTAGTTGAAAAGGTTGGTTCCAACTTAGAATTGGAAGCTGTAGATAATATTAGTCGAAATCATCTTGTTACCTTTAGCATTTGTTCAAGCATACCACCAATTCCATGCAAGACTGAATTGGTTGAACTTCAGAGGGATGAATTTGAAGATGCTAATGGCTGTGAAGATAATGAAATTCTTCCTGAAAGAGAGAATCCAGATATGGAAGACTGGAGCTTTTATCTTCACAAAGACTTGAGTGCGGATGATTGTTCATCTTCCTTTCGCATCTCTTCTCCATCATTGGATGAAGCATATTTGAATGAATATTCATCCCTGTATAGTTCCTTGAGCTCACCATTCATGAAAGAATATTCATTCCCAGATGGCGGCTCTGGTTCTCCAGTTTTGGAGAGGGAAGTAATAACCACAGCAAGAGATGATGATGAATCAGAAGAATTTTACAAGAAATATTCTGAAACAATGGGATGGTTTGATGTGCTAAACTACGAGAGGACCAGGGGAATAAGTGAGTATTTTTTTTTTTTTACTATCTTTTTCAATCATGCCATCTGCAGAACTTGCACAGCTTAGGCCATGTCATATTTATGCAAAAATGGCAACCGAAATTTTACATGTTGAGGGTGGAAAAAACCCTTGGATCTTGAATCATCCTACTAAAAATTCTTACATGACATTAGTTTTTATAGTAAGAGTGGAAATAGAATGCATCTTAATCGCCAACAGTTGCATGACCTGTTGATAAAGTGCTGGATTCTTAGTTCCAGTAACCAAGATTCAAATTCTGATAGCCTCAAGTATCAAAAAGAATGCAGCTTAGCCAGATGCACTTCCTATAGTCATGGTTGGTTATTTCAGGTGCAATCTTGAACAAGGAAGTGGGAATTCCAAGTTCCTTGGAGAATATCAAGGCCAAGGATTTCTCAATCCCCTACATATCGTTGAGCAAAATGGATAAAAAGAAGCTCTTAAAAAGTTTACAGAGTGATTTTGAGCTTGTTTATGTGGCTCAATCATGCTTGACCTGGGGGGCCCTGCATCATCAATACAGAAAGGTAAAGTTTCTGACCTTCTCCAACTCCTTGTTTTCTGATAATGTGGCTGGGGATTTCCAAAACTTCCAAGTCTTGCTTGAAAGATTTTTGGAAGAAGAAAGGTATATTTATCAGGGAAACAGAGCTTGGAATTATGTTCAAGCAAGATTTGCTTCCAAGAGCCTTCTTCAAGTTCCTAAAGTGACAGGTAATTCCTTTGATTCTTCACTTCCTCTCTTAATTTTAACTACTTTTAATGTGATTTTTTTTATACTTATTATATTAATATGAGATTATATAAAAATTTTATAAGAAAATAAAATAATACTATTTCAAATTTTAATAAAAATAAAATAATATCTGTAAATTATTAAAACTATTTATTTTTAATCAATTAAAATTCATCTTTATTACATAGAATGACTTTACCACAAAAGGTTCATTTCACTTTTTTGAATTTGTAAAAAAATCCACATCCTTTGTCTAATCAACTTTGTCAATTTGTCAGCCTCGGGGAATGTGCATTGAATCCCAACTTGAAGACATTTCCACTTGCCAAAAAAAAAAAGAAGAATCTACTTCCTAATATGATCTTAGAGAAATGTATTAAAAATCCTAATCAATGGTACTTGACAATAATAGCTTCACTGGATAGTTTTTCTGTTTATTAATTTAAAATTTTACCCTCGAATTTGATTTCTTAAAGGGTTTTTGGAGGAAGAAAAGCAAGGGATTAAAGGAGAAACAGTGGACGCAAAAGATGTGTTGAAGGCCATAGAGAAATGCATAGAGGCATTTGGAAAATTTGTAACAACTGACAAGAAAAAGCATTTGTGGAAATTAAAAAGTTCATTATGGTCTTTGCCCCCAGTGGAGGATCCAAGAGACTTGGAGCTACTAGCTGACCTGACCAAAAGACTCCAACAGGTAAAAAAATTCCAAGGACTGACCAATTCTCACGGTACCTACCAAGCTAAAGTACAATTAGCATACACTGTGGATGAAAATTTTAAAGTTTTAAACAGTATCAAATAATTAATATTACTCCACTGACGTGATGAAATAATAATACTTTTTTTTTTGGCTGCAGAAGCAACTATGGTTGAAAGATTTACAAGGGAAACAAAGGTGCTGGTTTAAAAAGGCTGTGAACCCAGTGGAAGAGTCCCAGAAAGAGGCAGTGTTGTTTACAATGATAGAAATGAAGCTGTTATCAAGGGTATTGCAGATGTCAATTTTATCCTCTTCTCAACTCAAATGGTGCCAGCAAATGCTAAACAACATTGAATTCAAAAGAGGGAGGCTTTTCAGGACTGTCAGTGGTCCTCTTTTCCCATCTTCTTGATTTTCAGCTTCATGATAAAAAAAAAATTTCCAATTTTAGGGGTTCTCATTTAATCTAAAATCTGCTCCACATATAAAAGACAAGGCTGAGCTTTTGTGCATATGTTAAATATATAAATTAATCTAAGTACATGTATAAACAACAAAAGCCAAGAAGGCATCATGTAATAATGTCAGTTTTTTTTTTTTTTTTTTTTAAATCAGTGCTTGTTTTCACACCACATTTGTAGGGTGGCTTTGAATGTAATCTAGCTGCAATTTGCTTCAGAATTTTTGCAAATTACATTCCTCTAACATAGTTTTTTAACTAATATAAAAAAAAATTAGTAAGTAGTTTGATAAAATGTTGAATTATTAATTTCAGAATCTGAACTATAAAAAAAAAATTCTAGATTTACTGAATCTTAGTTTTAATAATATGTAACTGTAGTTCTGCAGTGTAACATTTCACATAAACAATGTGTTGGACTCCCAAATCATAAAGAAATTTCTCTTAAGCAGCATTTCTCCTCATACCTCTAATTGTTTGTGAAGCCAACGGATGATTTTCACCATATGCTTTTCAAGCTTTTGTTGGTATGCAATCAAGATTTTCATTTTTGAAAAAATTCTTCTTTCACTTCTTTCTGATAACAAAGCTACTTTAATTACTGGCTTAATGATCATAAACTAATATAAAAACAAAGTTTGCCAAAGTACTCATATTTGAAATCCATTATAATTTTCTCTTTTTAATGTATATTTCCAAACAAAATTTTCTATCTCATTCCAAAAACAAGAAAAAAAAAAAAAAACTTGTAAACCAATCAGGACGTGAACCCAATGATAAGGACGAGTTCCGATTCGATTCGAAATTGAGAAAGAAAAAATGGGTCCAAAGATCTCTCTTTTCCATGTCCCGATAAAACTTACCTATAAAAAAAATTATCACATAATCTCAAACTTTAAAGCACTGAGTTTAATTAAAACGATTATTATAAGGCAAATTGTACAAAACTTGTACTGAAAAGAAGTTTAAACTACTAAAAGCTAGAAACCCGTCAATATGGATTTAAGTAAATCAAAGAATCATTTACAGCCACATTTTACTTTTATATTCCCCTTTGTCTCCCACGTTTTAAATTCTTGTGAAATTGACCCATCATCTTTGTGATTTTGTCCAAAGCATTGATTTTTTTGCCAGGAAAACCAAAACGGAAAGTCTCACACCCACAAATAAAAACTCTTAAAAAGCCCAAAGCCCAACCTTTTTTGTTCCCAAAATTCTCAGCCAATTTGAACCTCAAAAAACAACAAACATTTTTGCTCCAGGATTTCCCATATTTTGGGACCCACGTTAAATGCAACTCTCCTCGCAGTCTTTCCATGGCTTTCCCTTCATTTTCTAACGTAAAAAACTAATCTTTCCACTCTATAAGTTGCCAATAATCCTGTTGCATTCTTATTCATGTTCTTTCAGTGAAAACTCTTATCTGTTTGTTGCTAAAGCCAGAAATTTTTTTCTTGGTTTCTGGGTCATTCCCTTTTCCCAAATTATCTTCTAATTGCTAAAGGGAAAACCTTTTCTTGGTCTTTTTGGTTTATCTTGAGACGTAGTTTCTAGCACAAATGGCTTCCATTGTTGGTTCTTCACCTTTTGTCTTTGAAAGAAAAGGAGAAAGTAGACCCCTTTTAGCTTTCACCACTTTTAGGCCAAGAAAGATTCAAATTTTGGCTGTTTTGAATGGTTCAATATGTGGAGTTTCTTTGTTCTACGATAAAGGGCAGCTTTGGAGGTTTAAGCCTTTGAGACTAGCTGGTTCTTTGGATGGTGTAGGTGGCGCTGGTCGTGGCTCAGGGGATGCACTTCAGGCTACAATTGAGAAGAGCAAGAAGGTTCTTGCCATGCAAAGAGACCTACTTCAACAGGTTTTTTTTTTTTTGTCTTAGTTCTTGTTTTTCGTCGGAAATCTTGGTTTTGGACTGTAAAGGTTATGCTTTTCATTGAAAATGTGTCTTTTGGAACATAAATTTTCTGTTTTTAATGTAAGTGATAGTTGTTTTATTTTCTGGGTTGTGATTGTTTTTCTTTATTACTTTCTTGATGTGGACTTTGTGAGTGTTGTTGTTTGCAGAATGAAAAGATAAAGAAAAATGGGACAAGGGAATTGTGGCAATGAATCTTTCTGGTAGTAGAAACCTTTTAATTCTAGACCTACCTAACTTGCAACGAAACTCCATTGAATCAATAATCTAGCAACAAATGCTTAATACTCGGTACTAGCCGCTAATCTTTGTAGCTTTCATGGAGTATATAATAAGATTCTCGGATACTGGTATGTCATTGAAATCACATTGCTGATTAAGTTCCACCGTGGACTAGTTTCTTGTCAAATGAAATCTGATTTTCACTCTATCCCCTTTAGGTTTGCAAAGTTACATTCATAAAGTGAAATGCACTCATATGTAGTCTATGAACATCTATTTACTCAAAGCAGTTATATTTATGCAGAATAAATATATGTTTTCTTCCAGCATCGAACTTCTTAGATTTCTAGTACGGAAGTGTTAGGATACTTGGATATTTGTAAGTCTTTTTGCTCAAACCTAAAACAGCTTTAGGAACGAGGAAATTTTTTGTCTATTATTGTTCACTAAGATATTATGAGTCAAATCTTATCTTTCAAGGGATGTAATCGCTTTAGCTTGTTGTTTTGACTTGTGAGAATTTATCTTAATGGTGTTGATGGTTTTCTCTATCCATTGCAGATTGCAGAAAGGAGGAAATTAGTTTCATCCATAAAAAGTAGCGTTACTGACCAAGACCAAGATGAAGATTTTCATGAACAGAGGGATAATGCTTTTCCTAATGCAAATCTTGCTTCAAGCAGCTCTGACAGAATGGATGAAGGCAAAAATGGCAGAATACTTTCAAGCAGTCATGTTAATTCAACTATGAGGCACATATCAGAGATCCTACCTTCAGATGAAGTTGGAGAAGAACCCGAACTACACTTGCCTCGAGAAGAGGCTTCCTCCAATATAGGTCCTAACAAACAGTTAAAAACCACTGATTCTAAAGCATTTAAGTCTGATGTGCTTCCTTCTTATCTCTCAAGTTCCTCAGATGCTGCCCAACTTACAGTTGAAGAGAATGAAAATCTGACCGAAGGAGGTTTGGAAGAGGTTAATGATGAGGTAGATGATCCTCCAATTGAAGATGAAAATCCCCCAGCACCAGCCGGTGTAAATGTCATGAATATTATATTAGTAGCTGCAGAATGTGCTCCATGGTCAAAAACAGGTAGTATACCATTGACAGATAATCTGGGATGACAGTCTCTCTTTTCTTTTCTTGATGGACAGGGGACATATACCTTGTCCTTTTGTATATAACTTGGAGACTGATGGAGATTTATCATAGGTGGCCTTGGAGATGTTGCCGGTTCTTTACCTAAGGCTTTGGCTAGACGTGGACACAGGGTTATGGTAAATACTTTTTTCTGCTTTTTATGTTAAACTAATGTCTTAGGATTGCAATATATAAAGTTAATCTATTTACTTCCAAGAGGCCTCATCAAATGAAGCGAATCACTTTTAATTTGTAGGTTTAGTTGAGTTGAACCTTTATATTTTGTATCTATTCTTTGTCTAGTTGCTTCAGTAACCATTCTTTTTACTCCATCAGTTTATGATCCTCTATACAGTTTGAGTTTAGCATCCGACTATTTGCTTTACATTTGGTCCCAACAATGAACCTATAGATGCCTATGGCACTTTAGATGGTTTCACTACTAAATTCCCTTCTTTTTGCTTAGGTTGTGGCACCTCGGTATGCTGATTGTGCTGAACCTCATGATACAGGAGTTCGAAAGAAGTATAAAGTGGATGGTCATGTATGACGGTGCTGTTCATATCATTGTAAATTACTTAGCATTTGATTGTTAAACAACAAAGGCTAATTCCATAGCATAATCTTGATGATATTTTATTTCCAGGATACGGAAGTATCATACTTCCAAGCCTATATTGATGGTGTGGATTTTGTTTTCGTGGATAGTCCTGTTTTTCACCATATGCAGAATAACATATATGGAGGAAACCGACTGGTAGGATATCTTTTCTTTTGGTTTTGTTATGATTGGTTAATAATTAGGATAATCATTATTGTAATGAGGTCGTAATTTAGTGTGATTACAGAATACATGTGTTATGTTAATGACTTGCCAAATCTGGTACAAACCTGAGAGAAAAGGAAAAGATAGAGATCAACCATAAATGGCTTAATTTTAATGCTAATCTAAGGGTGTTTATAACTTATAAGTTTTCTAAAAACTCGTTTAACTTCTTTAACATCTTATATTAGTGTGATTGGGTTTTATGGTGCTATAAACATGTATTACTTGCTGCACATTGTTTGAAACAGTATGTTTGCAATCTATATTTTGTATCAAAGCAGACTAATGTTACCAATTTGGAGATGCAATAAACTCAATAGCTTTTCTTGGATTATCCTAGTTAGCATTTTGAAGCTTGCATAACTTTAGTCTTGTGGTGCAGGATATTTTGAAGCGCATGGTATTGTTTTGCAAGGCAGCTGTTGAGGTACAATTTCTAAATTGCCTTAAAATTATGTAGAAATTGGCTTATCCATGGTTCAGTTTGGTAATTTCTGTAATCCCTATTTCGTTTAATAACACATATATTTGCCCAGTCATTTCCTATTACCTGTAGTAGGATAGACATATGATCGAGAAAACAGATGGACCAAAGTTGATGGTAGAATGGAAAAGTAATTTAGTGTTACTCACTGCATCAGACATTCAATGTGGGAGTACAAATAAAACAATTAATTAAAAGATGGGCATTGTTGATCACATGAGGTTTTAAATGGCCTCTAAATTCTTCTCATTAAGATAAACAACGGTGAATGTAATGTGGAGTTTATCTATTGACCTTTCTGTCAGCATGTTTCCAAAAAAGCTGCTAGAAACAGTTGCCGGAATATATAGATAGATCTGCTTTACAGCAGAATTATTCGTTCGCGATCATCTCTTATCGTTTGATCTCATATGTAGAGAGTTGTTTGTAAGGCTCTAGTCAAAGAAACATATTTTAGATGGGTGTGCCGTGGGAGAGGAAAGTCATGCTTCTTACTTCCCATGCTAGAATGGTCTTACATAGATTACTCTTGGTAAACTTTAAGGTTTCTTGTGGCCATTTTTTTCTTTTCCGGCATAGCCTCATTGTTGGGTTGAATATAATTTATTTGTATTAGTGATATTAGTGATATAAAGTGAAGAAGTTGGTTTTTTCAGGTTCCTTGGCATGTTCCATGTGGGGGTGTCTGTTATGGAGATGGAAATCTGGTTTTCATTGCTAATGATTGGCATACTGCCTTGTTGCCAGTGTACTTGAAGGCATATTATCGGGACAAGGGTTTGATGCCCTTCACTAGATCCGTTCTCGTTATACATAATATTGCTCACCAGGTTTGTCCTCTCTGCCATGAGAATTCATTTGATGTGATCTTTTATAGTGAAAAAGGAATCAGGTCATCCATATTTTTGCTTGCTTCATTGAATAAAGAACTGGTCCAAGTGTATTCGGATTGTTTTCTCAATTCTTTGCTTTGGTTTTTGCACACAGATAGAAATTTATTAAAAGCAATTTGTATTTTTGCATTGACTACTTAAACAAAAGAGAATTTGCATAGAACTTTTCCTAAATCATGAATGATGGTTTACACGCCTTATCCACAATTTTCTCTTGAAGTTTAGTTTACATAAAGGACAAGCATGGACAACTATAATTTATTTTCTGCATTATTGCATCTAAGTGCATGAATTAATATTCCAAAAGAGCTCCCTCTTTTGGAATAATTGGAGAATGAGAATCCAAAAGCATTTGCTGAGGTTAAAAGATAATTTAGTTGTTTTCTGTTTCTTAAAATGTCCAAGTCAAGAATATGTTTCTGCTTCAAAATTTTGGATATCATTTGGACAAGAAACTTTGAATGCTATTACCGGATATGCTTTCATAGATTAATTATTTGAATTTATTGTAGCTTATTCTAACCAATAAACTGTATGCAGGGTCGGGGGCCTGTGGATGATTTCTACCATGCGGATCTACCAGAACACTACATGGACCTTTTCAAGTTATATGACCCCATTGGAGGTGATCACTTCAATATCTTTGCAGCAGGTCTAAAGACAGCTGACAGAGTGGTCACTGTTAGTCATGGATATGCTTGGGAGCTTAAAACTTCTGAAGGTGGTTGGGGCTTGCATGGGATCATAAATGAAAGTGACTGGAAATTGAGGGGAATAGTTAATGGAATTGATGCCACAGACTGGAATCCACAGTATGATGTTCACCTCAAATCAGATGGTTATACTAATTACTCCCTAGAAACACTGCAAACCGGCAAGGCTCAGTGCAAGGCAGCCTTACAAAAGGAGCTTGGGCTGCCTGTTCGTAAAGATGTCCCAGTGATTGGTTTTATTGGGAGATTGGATCACCAAAAAGGTGTTGACTTAATTGCTGAGGCGATTCCGTGGATGATGGGCCAGGATGTGCAATTAATCATGTTAGGCACTGGCAGACCTGACTTGGAACAGATGCTTAGGCAGTTTGAAAACCAACATCGTGACAAAGTCAGGGGATGGGTTGGGTTTTCCGTAAAGACAGCTCATCGTATAACGGCAGGGGCTGATATTTTACTCATGCCATCAAGATTTGAACCCTGTGGACTGAATCAACTTTATGCCATGAGCTATGGGACAATTCCAGTTGTTCACGCTGTTGGTGGATTGAGGGACACTGTGCAGCCTTTCAATCCATATGAAGAGTCAGGGCTTGGTTGGACATTTGATAGTGCTGATGCAAATAAGTTGATACATGCATTAGGAAACTGCTTATTGACTTATCGCCAGTATAAAAAGAGTTGGGAAGGGCTCCAAAGACGGGGTATGATGCAAGACCTCAGCTGGGACAATGTTGCGCAGAAGTATGAGGAGGTCCTTCTTGCTGCCAAATACCAATGGTGAGCTGTTTGTTCTCAATGAGCCGTCTATAATTTTGACCATTTATTGCTAGCTGAGTAAGTTGACATGGTGGAAATCCTGTTTCGAAGATGCTAAAATTGTTGATAAATAGCATTTAACATTTTACCCTTTTTCTTCTTTTCAATTTTATGTGTTCAAAGGTTAGTGGAAAGCTGAATATTCCAATTGCTGAAAGTGTTCTAATGATCCTTGTTGCTTTGATTCAAAACCTATTTAACATGAGGAATGTGTTGTTTTCCTCTTTCGTATATTAACTTGCAAAGGTGCAAGATCTTGAGTTGATGCATTCCCACAACTTATTCAGAGGCATTTGCACAGGTAAACGGATTCCATTAACCCACCGTAGGCTGATGTATACAATTTTGGGGTTTTGAATGATGTTTGGCAGAACACCGTAGGCGTCAATATACACAACTTTGTTCTTGAGCAAGGCAGAGTTGAGATGATAATTTCCGGCAAAGACGGTTGTTCGCACACAGTGAATCACAAAGACAATAAACAACACAAATTATGAGTGGGACAAACAGAAAGTAGCTCTGGACGTATGACCAGCATCTTCTTTCCGCTGGTTTCTCTTTGGTAACCAAGAAATAATAATGACATTATTTATGGAAATTCGGATGGAACTTAATTAGCAAGATTGAAAGTTGTGTTTTAGCTATACATGTAGGCACAATTATTTGTCATTGATCAAATGATGTGTTTAGTATACAAGATTATTATGATAAAATACGATAAGATAATATTATAAATTAAATTAAATTAAATAATATTATTTTTTTATATTTGATATATACAAAAATTAAGATAAGATAATTTATTTATTGATCAAAATTATTTTTCTCAAAGTTTATACAATTTAAATTATTAATATAATTTTTAAAGGTATAATAAGATATGTAAGTTTAATCCTATGAATCAAAAATAATTTTCTCAAGATAATTAAATCATCTTATACTAAGAGGATGATAACTCTTTTTGAAATTATATTTCTTTTAATTAAACACAAATCAAATATAATATAAAATAATTATTGTATTATCTTATTCATTATCTTATATACCAATATGACCAAAATATAAATTATTAAATCCACTCAAAAGGATTAGTGAAGTTGATAACAAGCATACCTAACAATTTTAAACACGACACAATGATATGACATGAAAATAATATGAAAAAAATTATATATAGGTTTTGTGTAATTCTGTTTCGTGTCTTAATCATGTTGATATGATTAAAACATGATATTATTCGTGTTGTGTTCGTGTCAAATAATAATGAGACACCTAGGACATAGTATTGTTTATAACATTAAACAATTTTTAAATTTTATTTTAATTTATTTAAAAAATAAATTAATAATTTTATTAATCATATCATTTTAGTATTTAAATAGATTATAAATATTCAAATTTTAAGTAGTTTTTTTGTTTAAATGTTAATTTAAATGATTTTTTTGTTTAAATGAATGAGTTAATTGTGTTTAATCGTATTATTCGTTATATTAATTGTGTCGGATCATGTCGTATTATTTGGATAATTAATTATGTCTAATAGTATTATTTATATATAATCATGTTAATCATGTTGTGTGATCATTTTATTTAAATATAAATTAATTTTAAAAATAGTAATCGTGCTAAATAATATCACATGTAACACATATAATAAATATATTATATTCATTTTAAAATTATTTATATCATTTAAATATTTATATCGTATCCTTATCAAGATTATTCATGTCACATCTAAAATCTTGGTCAACAAAGATTACGATAACACGAATTATCCAGCCGAAGAATTTTTCTCATCCAGTAGGGTTTGATTCTCGTGAAACGTACTCTAGAAAAAAATCTTGAATGGGTAAGGTTAGATGTAAAATCTTTTACTCATACAATTCTAGAGAGCCTTGCTCAAAGTAGCCTCACCCTTCGGAGTAAAGATCTGCAAAACACCAAGTCAACGATAATTTTCTTCAGCACACCATCGTCAATGCAGGGCCCAAGCAATCATCTTATCATTTTTTTTGTTGGGCAAACATTGTGTTCCCAGAGATAAACAATAATACACATGCTTCCAACATTTATATTGAAAAAACAAATGTAACATATAATTCTTTTATTAATTTCGGGGTTCCAAGATGACGGGAATATGACACGCATGATTCATCAGACAAAACAATGACAGCACCCCACAAAGTCCAAAGAGAAATATAAGATTGACCCACAATCATCTGAAATTGGTGGCACCAGCCAACATACGAATATATCTATAATCATAGACTCAGCAAGGGGTATATTTTCTTAATATTGAAACTCGGGTGGGAACTATATGCATTGGAAACTCTTCTTTTGCGATTAAACTGCAAAAAACGAGCAACTCGACAAGAGCCCTGCAAAACCCTTAGACAGAAAACCTTCAACTGCACATGGAGACTTGGAAGAACCCATTGGACTACTGTGTATTTTCTTAATATTGAAACTCGGGTGGGAGCTATATGTATTGGAAACTCTTCTTTTGCGGTTAAACTGCAAAAAACGAGCAACTCGACGAGAGCCCTGCAAAACCCTTAGACAGGCAACCTTCAACTGCACACGGAGACTTGGAAGAACCCATTGGACTACCGTGTTTAACAACTTCCATGCATTCATCAGATGAATTCTGGGGAGGATTATCTTCCCTATTAACTGATCTGTGCTCAATCAACCTACTTCTCTTAGAACTCAATGTGCAATTCACGCGTGGAGAGTTTGAAAAGAGAGAATTGGACTCCATTTTTTCATCACCACATTCAGTTAGCTTCCTCTTCAACCCAGGAAATTCTCTTAATCCTGCCACATGATATCATTATGATAACATCAATTATCCATTGCAGACCATATAAGTAGGAAACTTATCTACAACATCAATTCCCCATGAAAACTAATATTACCAGGCAAAGAGTCCTCATATGCACGCGACTGGGACTCTGAATCACCACAGCTACAGAAAACATTTGAAACTTTATTGGAACCTGAAATTCTGCAATGGGAAGCAAGCCGGGAAAAGGGAGGGGGGGGTTCTGAGACAACTAGGCATAGTGTTAAACAAAATAAAATTATTACTCTTAAATCATTCTGCAAGATCAGGATCATGAATGAACCAATAACACACAGCATGATTACTGGTCAATAAAAATGAATATGGCCAAGCGAATCATACAAGAGTTATTCAGTAAAATACAAAAATGAAAAGAAAATAAGTGGAAGTAAAAACATTACAATAGGAATTTGAAATTGTAGCCCAAAATAAACTGAGTAATAAAGAAATAGCCATCAAAATTTTCATGATCATGCAAAGTCTGAAGTTACAGAAACCAAACCTATACATATGCTCCACAAAGTCATCAATTATAACAGGCCAAGCACCTGGAAAATAACCAAACAACTAAGATACACACGGAAAAACACATGAGAGAGCCCATAAGACAGATCTGGGGAAACTCAATACCTTCAGGATCATACCCTTCCAGATTTTCATGTACACACCTACTAAAAGCTAAAACTTGCTGCCAAGTATCCTCAGAAATATTATGTCGCTGATTTTTCTGAAAGTAAATCAAAAGCATTAGTTGCCTTAATCAAGATATTAACAGTAGAGGCCATAAACAGGTATACTTCCAACTTGAACTACTAGTACAGTAACAGAATAAATGACCAACCCATGAGATGACTATCATCCATATTCACATACTTGGCATGCCCAGGCCACAGGGTGACATGCCCTGTATAAGGATTTTCAAAGGCATGTATAAGGCAACTAAACTAAAAAAGTTAGAATACTTCTTACATGTGAACAATTGAAACTGGTGCAACAGATAAGTGACTCCATATATGATAGAAATAAAATCTTCTACTAATTATGGTAAATAATAAATCATTTACAATTTAAGTCTACCTTAACAAACTATATCATAATTCTAATGAAAGGTCAATGCAAAAATTAAAGCAGTCTTAGACATTGGAATAATAACCAAGACTTTCGCAAGATGCCTCAGAGACAAGCAAAAGTGTTAGCAGCTTAGTATCAGTTATACTCATACCTCAACAAATTCACACCATTGGTTAAGCAATCGAAACCTGCCAGCTAAGACTAATCTCCATGCAGCAACCGCCCTGCTTACAGCTATCAATCATGCCAAAAAAGAAGAGATTTAAATACAAGACCAAAGAAATTCATCATAATTTATAGCTTATATATCCTCAATATTTATACCAAGGATATCAAATAAAAGCATTTGCATTTAACTAAGTAGTATGAGACAACTTACTAATATTCTTTTGACCATCTTCTCGACATATAAAGAAAACAAAATCATAAAAGCGTGAGAACTCAGAAAAGTCTACCTACAAGAAACAACAGCAGTCAAATTTCAGTATGGAAAACATGATATCAGAACATAAAGTCAATATACCAACAATAAAGAACTGTAAAGATATTTCATACTAGATTCTAAAATTCTACTTAAATCTGTCCCCCAAAAAATTTAATGTAGAAGAATCTCACCACCAAGTCTAGTTGTAACATGAGCTTGAGAACTTCATCAAAGATTGCATTCCTGTCAAAGGAAACATAATAAAATGTTGAATAAATGCAACAATCACTAGTGTGCAACTGAATTATGACCAAATAACCAAAAATAGAAGATTGGATACAGAATCTTTTCTGCCATTCACCTCCCTTTGAGAAAAATAGACCTAGGTCTTGTGCCATAATATCTTTTTCACTCAAGTATTTACACTTAATCATAATGATACAGTAGTAGTCTACACGGATGTAGAATGTATAACACAGTCTAGGAGGGCAATTACAACTCAAGCAACTCAGGTTCAAGCTGGAGTCCTCAAAATTCAACCTTAAGATGGGATTGGCATATTCCAACTGTTGCAGTTAAATGAAATGTATCTTAGACAAGAACTGCCAAGAATGATACAAAGTTCATATGGCATCCCTTAAATATCAAACTGGTTCATTCATGTCAACAATTGTCAAGTGTTCTAAGATTCATATACCAATTCTTTAATCTTCCTAACAGCTAACCAAACTTGATAAACTTCTCTATACAGATTACAGATATGTGTACTACCTTGTGTGCAACCTTGAATCCATCATTTTTAAGAGCTGATTCAACGCGTCCCTTGAGAACTTAGCTCTTTGTGATTCCTCATCTTGTTGGTAGCCTTCTTCACCACAAACATATGCATTTCCTATTCTAAGTTCTGCAAGAAAGTTCAAAAGTTAACTAAATGACGGCAGCCCTTTTCAAGCTTCAAACCCAAAATATACCAAACCAAATAATTTTTTTTTTTAAAGTAACATCCCAGTCACAGCAAAATAATTCTAAACAGTTGAACTTCTAAAAATTTAAGCATATCAGAAAAGACCAAGACTTTGAACATTTTAACCAAATCAGATTACACTCCATATTTTCTTCTTGTTTTATTATTTCTTTTTGGGTACCCAATTAAACTTCAACTGAACCAAATTTTGAACTAAAAAAAAAGCACTTTCAACTCTCTTCCCCCACAATTATTAAACAACAAAATCAAACCCAAAAACCCTTATCTAATATCCAGTCTTTTCACCCATTAATTCACCTAAAATGGAGAAGTTTTAAAAACTCTTCTTTTGTACATCAACCCAAAATGTTTAAATTTGTTTTTTTTAAAGGAAAGAATAAAGAAGTAAAATCGCAAAATCAAATAAAGAAAAGCGAAAGAAGATTACCACAGAATCGCCTGTAAATCTCGAAGATATCAAACCAATTCGGACCCAGAGAGTTCATCGGATTCTCAACTGTTTACGGAGCTCCGGCGAGTTTTTTTATTTATTTATTGGTGAGTTTCAAAGAAAAGAAAACAAATAAAAAATCGAAATTTCTCTTTTCCGGTGTCTCCTCTCTTTCTCCTTATTTTTCCAAAATCAAATTTTTAAGTTTTTCTTCCCTTCGGATTTTGTTTTCAGATTAAAAAAAAAAAAAGACAGATAGGAAGGGAAAACGGAAGTTCTGGTTTTTCGGTGAAATTATCAGAGGATTGAACCGGATCTTGGAATAGCATGTGACGCAGCGAACATTCTGTATCTTACTCTCGTCAATTACCCACCGCCCGATTTTTTTAATATATGTAATATAAAAGAAAAGGGAAAAGGTTTTCCTTTTTTAAATAAAATTGAAAAAAAAAAAAAAATCAACTTACTAGTGACCTATTTTATTGCCCAAAACATATATTCCCTCGACACCAAGTGTTTATCGTGTATTAATTTTTATAGAAAAAAAAAACTTTTATTTTAATGTATTTAATGTTAAATTTTAAATTTTTTTATAAAATTAAAATTTCATGATTTAATGTGAAAAAATAAAAAAATAATTTTAAAATATAAAAAAAGAATTTTACATGTTAAAAAAAAGGACATAATTTTGAAATATCCTAAAATAAAAAAATAAATAAATAATGAAATAGACGGAATATATTTTATCCATCTTGAATTTTTGTATATATTAAAATATAAATAAAATAAATTTTAATTTGATGTGCAACTTAGTTAAGTTTTTTTAATTATATAAGAGAAATTATCTTATTTATTTTGAAAATTTTAGAATATTAAAATAACACATACCCTTTAATCTCACTTATAAAATTTAAAAAACAAATTTATTTATCTTTTAATTAAAAAATATATAACAATTTTTTAATTTTGCTTATAAAATTAAAAAAATATATTATTTTTTTATTTTTCATATAATTTAACTTACCAAAGCTTTAGACAACATCCAAGACAATAAGTGATCATCTTTTAAGAGAGAAATTCTATTTACACTTCATTTATTATTCTATACACCACAAATTCAAAACTCAAATTTCTATTCCTATTAAATACAACCTAACCCTTACTTTCTATTTTTCATGTATACCATTTCTCTATTTTTTTTCTCTTACTTTTTGAAATTGATTTTTCGAAAATAAATATTTGAGAGGTTTTGAAGTTATCGAAAATAGATATCCGAGAAACTTTAAAAATTCTTAAATATTCATTTTCGAAAAATCTAAAAAATTCTTAAATATTCATTTTTAAGAAAACTCAAGCTTATTAGATATCTATCTCTAAGTTTTTAAGTCTTTTTAGATATTTATTTTCGAGAAGCTCGATTTCACTTTTAAGTATTGAAAAACTTAATCATATGCTTATGAATCTATTTACTTGATCATATATATTAATGAAACTGAAATAGATATTTCTCAACAAGTATGACATAAATTTGTTCTTTTTTTTAAGCTTCCAAAAAATCAAAAACATCATTTTTTGGTTTTGCATAGACAAATGGGTGTTTTTAGTTTTCTGATCTCAAGACAAAAATACTTTTATGCCCATACATGCTTAAAAATTAACATGTTTTTTCCATTGACACATATGATCAAGTAAGAATGGGCACATCGATGATTCATGTGTATGCATGCATGCTAGTTAGAGCTTGAACACCCTACAGAATATTGACATTGACAATGCTATCAACAGATTAGCAAATTTGACAATAAAGACCTTTAATTGTTCAATCACTAATTCTTACTACCAAATTTGCTAGTTTGTTGACGTCATTGTCAGTGACAGATTTGATTTTTCTTTATCAGATATTGATAAAGAGATTGATTTATTTTAATTTTATTTATTTTAAAATTAAATGTATTTATTTTATTTAAATTAAAATTAAATGTTATCAAGAATTTATGATTAAATATAAATTTAAACAAACATTTATATATTTCTAAAAAAAGATTTTTAACAATATAAAGAAATTCATTTATGAGAATGCAATATGATTCTCGAAAATTTATTCATTTTTTATAATCATAATTTTTTTTTTTGGAAATGGATTACCAAAAACATAATATAACTTTCTAAAATCCATTTTCAAGATATACGACAAGTGATTTTAGAATATATAAGTTATTGAGGATATTTTTATGATTTATTAAATGTTAAAATTGGTATTACTATGTGGGTTTTTTTAAAAAAATATTTTTGGGATTGCATAAAGAAAACTTTATGATGTATTTAGAAGACTCCTTTTTAAGACGTGATTGTAAACCTACCCTTTTTTTTTAAATAAATAAATAAATATATATATATATATACCTTAATTAGACAAGTAATTTACATCCATAAAATTTTCTTGTTACCAAGAAAAAATATTGGTAAATATTATATTTCAAAAAAAAAAAAAAAAACCTTGGAAAGGAGAAATGTTTCGATGATGCTTTTTTGTCATCATGCCTAGAGAAGCTTTTTTTTTTTTTTTTTCAATTACATTTTTATAAAAAAATGTTTCAATCTAAATTTAAGATTTTATATAAATCTCACTCATATTTTTTAAACCATTAAATCGTTTTTTATGATACAATTATTATCGACCTAAATTTTTTTTAAGTTAATCAAGATAATTAAAAATTGTCTAATTTTAACTATTTACAGCTACTATGATACATGAATAATGTTACAAATTATTTTTTTTTTTTCAAATCACATGCATAAATAGACAAAAAAAAAAATGCTCCACTTGTGAAATAAAGATGGAGTGGTTTAGAAAGTACTTACTTATCTACCTTGCTTTCTCCACTTTACCACTACACTGTAAATAATGGAGATAGCAAAGCAAATTGAACATGAATTACCATCTAGTGAGATTCAAATAGTAAATAAAGTAAATACAAAAGCCAAGTAGAAATGGAAAAATACTTATTTGCCTCATCCAATACAAGAAAAAGAATAAGTTATGATTCTTTTAACAAAAAAAATTGTGTACTTCATTTAAATGATATGAGACAGCTAATAAATTTAGAACTCATTTCTTTAGTTTTCATTTAAAATTTCTAGAAAAACTTTAAAGCAAGAAAATTTAAATTACAATAAGATTGATCATGAATGTTTCATTTTTATTACGAGTCAATATCTATGAAGACAATGTCCCATCTCTTTGAAAACAAAACCTCTATATATTCATTTACACTAATTGTAATTAAAGAATTCTCATTGAAGATTATGCAACAACTTCTATGGTAAGTTAAAAATGTAGATTGTGAATTTGAAATTTAATTCAAATTTTTTTATCAATAATTTAATTGGTTCATACGATTATTTTAAAGAAGTAACATCTATAAGATGTAAAATTTAAATCTTAATATCTATAATCCTCTTCTTTTTAAAATTGCAACCTCTTTTACGAACAAATTTTAAGATTGTATATATTTGCATTAAAATTTTTCAAGCCAAATTCATATTTTGTTGAATTAAAAGGAGGAATTAGGTTCACAAAAAAAAAAAAAAAAGAATTAGGTAAGCAAACTTCAAGCTTATAAAGCATGTTGTTACATCTACCAACTTCTTTTGCTTTTTTTTTTTTCTTCTTTTTGAATGAAAGAAATAAGGTATTTGTAAAAATAAAAAAGAGTTGATATGAATGGTAAATCCTTTAAAATTTTATGTCACTTCATCAAATGGTGTAGATTTTCTTATTTCCACTTCGTCGTCTATATATACTCATAAAAATAGTAGCCTAGCTATAAAGATTAAAGATCTTCAAAACCAAGTATTCAAAGGGAAATTACAACATTTTGATGTATCCCAAGTTAAATGAACCCTCGACTTACCTACTTAAAAAAAAAAAAAAGTGGGTTAGATGCATGCAATCTTCAAGTCTAAATCTTATAATCAAAGAATGAAGGCAAAAACTTAGTAAAAAAGAGTTTAACAATAATTTCAATAAAGAAGAGGAGGTCAAGGTAAAAAATCTTGGGGTCATGACCCATACCTTTGTCTCGGGTTATAATAGTTTGTCAATTTGCTTTTGTAAAATAAAAGGTTTAGACTAATAGCACCAGAAAAGGTTTGCACTAGAAAATGTTTACATATCCATCCTCATTCCTTATGAGTTATGTCCTTTTTTAATTGCTTGATTTATGACAATAGATTTTTTTAGATATTAATCTTGGAATTAAAACCAAAATTTAGACTTTAGAATGAATAATCCTACTACAATAATAATAGATTTGCTTTGATACCATGTTAGTTTTGCTACAAAAAAGCTTGTTTTTATTAAAGAAGTAGATAATGTATATATAAGTATGTAATTGCTTCGTACTTAAATATATGGGATTCAATTAAGTATTAGGGATTTAACAATATAAATAAAAGAAATAAATAATAAATAATTATGTAAATTTAATTTTTATCGTGAAGTGCTCTTTATAATCTAACAAAATAACCCTAATAAGGTAATAATAAATCGAATTGGATTTGGTTTGATTATTTCAATTAATGCATAATAATTTAGATTTTTAAAAATAAATTTTAATTCAAATCCAAAATTTTTCGAAATAGAATTGATTTTAATTGAATTCTATTGATTGAATTCATTGGTTCTTTAAAATTATTTTTTGTTATTATTTTCATATTATTTTTAATATATTCAAACAATTTTAAATATAAAACATTTATTTTATTTTACAAAAAATTAAAATTTGTATAAAAATTAATAAAAATATAATTTCATTCCATTAAAATAGTTTTATTTTTTTACTTCATAATCCAAAAATCAATCTAAACCTAATTAAAATATCTAATTCAAATCGAATAAAAAAATCAATTTAAACCAAATTTAAAACGAAATTCAAATATGTTTTCAATTTTTTCCACAACTGCATCTGAAAATAGTGTTATCCTATTAGATTTTGCAAATCTATCAAAAACAGTTACAATTTCAATTTCTTTTTGTTTTCTTTATTCCACGAGAGGTTTATAATAAAAAAAAAAAGAAAAAAAAAAGTCCGGGCCCATTATATAGCTTGCTTTTAGTTTCCATGCGTTATCTGACGTGTCATCTGCTTTGCCACGTCACCAGATCTTCCCCTGTATTTTCGGATGAAACAGAAACTTCTAGCAGCTCTTTAACGGAATCTCGTATGACAGTCATTAATATCCTCGTATCTACGTTCTTCCCGAACATTCCAGAGCCACATCAATCAAATCCTGTGTAAAAATCCTCTCTTTCCTTCCTATTTTAATTTCATAATAAAGTTTTTTTTTTCTTCTTTGTTTTTCCAATTTCCTTACATTAACATGGCGGATATTCCTACCCAAAC